CTAGCTTTTGTATTAAGGCTATATAATATTTCAGATTCAGCTCCAAATAAGTACTTCAGAATACATGGGATGCACAAAACCGTGTGCAACTTTTAAAGCAGCCATGTCTGTTCTCAGAACCACACAACAGCTTCAGTTTTAAGCAAATAACACTACTTAAAAATATGATCACTGAAGGACCTATCTTTTCAAAAAAATATATATTTCATATTACAAAAACAGAATATCTAGATTTATTAAGCTAACATCACAATTACCAGTCATTAACTATCAGACACATTACTTTTATACACTTAAAGTGAATAATATATTGATATATATATTGTATTTATTTATTTAAAAGACTTATATGGCTGCCCATGTTAACATATGACTCTGGGCAACTATCAATAATTTAAAGTAACAAAATAACAAATAAGCAAAGTAGCTATAACAACCATCAAGATATCTATATTTACATATAGATATTTATGACTAAGTTTTCTTATTTGGCACATTCAAACAAGATGGTTTAGTGGCAAGCATACCCATTCATGACTGATGGTTTCTCCCTTACAGTGATACTGCAAACCATCTATGATTTGTTTTTATATGTTTATATTGTCTGATTGTAAAACAGATGGGCAAAACAGATGTAAAACCATATTTTAACCATGATTTACTGATAAGCATAATGGATTGTGTTCATTCAACACAGTGAGCTATGAGACATGATTTGCAAATCCCAAGGAGTGGGCGCATGCAACATGGTAAACTAAATCACATTTTTGCTTACTTTGATGTATGAACCACTCAGACCACAACAAACCAGAGAGGGAAAACATGGTTTCAGAATTCCTTCCCTGGTTTAAAACAAGCCATAATGCCATATGCAGATGTTGAAGCAACCTAAAAAAGGTTGATTATTTGTATTCACTATGCTTGGGTTGAGGAATCCTAAAACTGGTTAATGGATAAACCAAAATTAGCTGAGGCTACACTGTCTGAATATATGACTTTAATGCCTGGGTGTCAGATGGCTTTTAAAACATATAAGAAAACTACCAGTGGTCTGATATGTGCTGACACTTGCTGCTAAAATAATGGTTGTAAAAAAAAAACCAAAAAAAAAACCTCTCATGCATTTTGACCTCTGCATGCTTTGTTTATGCTTTAAGGAAAATATCAGATAGCTCACATTTGCCTTACCCCAACATATGTAGCTTATCTCATTATTAGGCAGTAGGTAGCACAATGATAATCAAAGTATTTACAGATTATATCTGCAGATATTACTGCAAAATGATGACTAACTCGTTAATCTTTCATCATTACAAGGAACACAGCAGAAAGCACATTGATACATTATTTTAAGCAGCCACCACTAAACTGATGTAAGTTTCCTAATTGAAGTTAAAGGTAACGGCTTGATCTTTGGACCCTGGCATAAGCACAGACAAAGCACGCCAGCTCTTAGCGAACGCCACTTTTCAGTAAGCATGCAGAATCCTGAAAACCTCCCGAACTTAATCAGTTCCAACGTTAATTATCTCCTGCAACTTTAGCAGCACATAATAGCAGCCAGCAATCCCCCTCCCCTGATCTTCCAGCTCTATGCACTCACTTCCTCTAAAAACTTTGTGAGATCGTATATACGGCGGTGTATAATAATCCAAGTACTCTGGCTATGATTTTGCTTCTGGACTTCCTCGAGCTTGTAATAGCGACCCCGCCACGTTTCTTTCTCGGACTTGTCGCCGCTGGACTTCGTCATCGCCGCTTCGTTCGGTCCTTTTTCGCCTTTGCAAGACTGCAAGCAGATTTCCACGTGAAGCAGCAGCAGCAGCAGCAGCAGCAGCAGCAGAAGCGAGAGTGGCGGAACTGAAACGCACAACTCTGACCTAAGTGTCTCTCACCTTCTAACGCAAGCGCAGATAAAGTCTTTACGTAAACAACCCCTAATCTGAACGCACCACCCTCTGCTTGACGGCGGAGGGGGGGAAGAGAAATCGCCTTTGCCGGCCTCTTATTGGTTGGCTGAGTGTTGCTGGGTTGGCTTTCTGAAGCAATTCCGAGATTCCAAGAAGCTCTGCTTTCTTACGACAGAACGTGAGGTGTGGGGGGGAATCAACAAAAGTAACATAGAGATAAAACCGTAAAGACCTACACAACAGGCAGACTGATACAGGAAACGGAAAATGGTCCCACGGTGATGCGTAATATAAAGTGTACCATCAGATGTTACTTCAACTTTCGGCTTATTTCTTATTAAATGACATTGTTAGGTTGTTTCCTATAGTTGCAAAATGTTTTTCACGTTTGATATCATAATATTTATGGAAAGTTGTTCAATGAATATTTATGGTAAACTGGGGATTAAAGTACTGAACTGTAAATGCAACTGCATCAAAGGAACTAGCATTGCCCGCAAAAGCTCATCGCTAATAAAGTAATTTTTACTGAGATGTGGGATCCTTTGTATTATTTCTGTCCGGGGTCTAATTTAGCTGTTCAAAGTTAGTGCACAGTTTAGTGGTTTAAACTGGCAAATCCTTTCTCATAAATCACTGTAACTTTTGTGCCTAAGTTGAATACCTATATAGCAAACTCATACAAATATTGTATAAACACCTAAAGAATTTACTGTTATCTCTGTATGATGCTTTCCAACACATACATTTATATGACAAATATTTCACTATGGTCAGAGTCTCCATGGATAAGCAATAATTTTTTAAAATCAATTATTCGCCTGCAGTTTCCTGATACATTTACTGCAGTGTAAATTGTGATTTTGATATGTGGATGAACTGTCACAGCACAAAGACAAGTAATGACTTGGGCTTAATATCCTCTCAAATAAAAAACTTTTTAAAGCAGCAAATTCCCAGATAACAGACTTCATTTTCAAAAATAATAATAAATCAGACAAAACATTCTGGCATAAAAAATAAAACACAAAAAGGAGCAATATCTGGCTTCACTGGGTATTTTTAATGTATTCAGTTTCAATTCCACTTTTTACTGATAAAGCTATCCAAAGTGGGCTAGGTGAATGAAATGGGATGAGTGTGATTTAAAACCTGAAGTGTAGCTTCATTGTGGTATAGCAGAATCGTCTTTACAGTTTCAAACTGGGGACAAATTTGTGACAACTTACCACAATTAATAAAAGTGTTGAAAGTGTTTGCTCAACTTGTAGGTAGGTATTTGCTTTGTTTAGCCATGCATTTGAACTGTATAGGACACACACATACAATTTTGAACTAGTATAATCCCACTTTTTATGTACCTACAGAGAAACGATGAGATTTTTCTGAAATCCTGATAATGCAGTTACTATGAACAAGCTGAAAAATTAGTGGACTGCAAAGAAAAAAAATACAAAAATCAAAAATAGCCGCACTGATCTATTAGGAAAACAAAATTTGTTACAGTTGGGCAGTGTGTTAGGGAATAAAGTTCAAAATAAATCTTTGAATAATATCTGCCATATCAGTCAGGAATTCATAAATCAGAGATTGCAGAAGTAAAAATTCTAGAGTTTTAGGGAGGTGTTTTATATCTCCACGTGGCACCAAAGCCGCCTCTCCAGCAGTTCAAAAACGGTCCGTGATCTACGCCTGGATGAGAATTAAAATCTTTTTAAACGCTCAGTCATTTTTTTCCCCCTACAAATGTGAAAGAAAAAACTCGCGTGACCCCGCCTTCTGCCCTTCGTTCCAGTGCGCCTTATCACGTGCTGTCGAATTTTGGACGGGCGAAATCCGGGGCTGCGTTGCAAGCGAGCTCTGACCTCTTACCCACCTTCCCGCGGCCACGGAATTGCACCATAGATACTTTTCTAAATCACCTCTCGCTTTGCTAAATCAGCCGTGCGTACTTTTCCTCTCTACGCTATCGAGCGCTTTAGGCATTCACTGAAAACGGCAAGTGCAGGGAAACAAAAGGACGGTGTGCGCAAAAAGGGGGAAAGGGTTAAGATTTGTAACTGGGAGAAGCCCACCTTTTTCTGTCAGCAAGTCAGATTGACGACTTGCCCCGCGAGGTTTGCTCTTTCTCTCGCTGCCCCCTTCTCTTTTCACTCCTACCGCTGCTTTTCTGCCTTTACTGTGCACCTTCATTGTGTGCCATTCCAAGCATAGGCCTTCCTGCCCCCTCACTAGATTTTCCCGCGCTTTTTAGATAACCTGCTTCGCGTTCACAAATTTTAAACAAGGATTTTGGAGCTGGAGATATCCTACAAGTAATTGCATACTTGCAAAATTCCTAATTGAGATTATTCTTCAGTGGCAGTTTTCCTACCATAAGGTGGTTTTCAGACAGTTATGACTCATCCATCAAAGTGAGATGGATTACACAAGTTTCATACAGAACATGTCCCTCTAGTCAAACTAGGCTAGTTAGGCAAATGATGTCATATTTAGTGGAAAATATTTATGAGATTACAGTGCCAAGTTCCCAAAAGTACATCATTTGCTTTTTCTGCACTAAAGATTGAGTGTGATGATACAAAGCAGAAGGAGCGTTTTGTTGCTGTTGTATCTGTGGTGACTCGGCCACATTAAAATGGGACGTTACTGAATTTTCCTCTAGTCAACAAATATAATTTAAAGAAAAAATGTTCCCAGCCTATCTTGCAGGAAGAGAAACGAGCTGTGGTTTAATTCCTGTTTTTCAGGTTTCTCCCAAGCTTTCTGTCAGTCTTAGGCCTGAAGACAAAAAGAGTTAACTGTAAAACAGCAGTTCTAAGGTTACCATATTTTGTAATAATCATTGTTGATTGTAAAAAAAAGAATGAGTGCTTTTCATCAAGTTTTTCTCTCACACCCTTGAGAAAAAAGATTATTTCTGGCATTCTAAGAGTTCTGCCATTTTGGCTTTTTTAGGGGAAAACATCTGTGTAATAACCTCTGCAAATACAGGTGGTCCTTGAGTTATGATCGCAATTGGGACTGGGATTGCTATCACTAAGTGATACAGTTGTAAAGTGCAATGTCATGTGACCGCATCCCAATTGTTGTTGTAACCTAAGATGTGTGAGTCCTTAAGCAGGAAGTGGAGGGAGTCCCAGGTTAGTGAGGGAGGCCCTGGGAGGCCGGGTGCAGGCCATGCAGGAGTTGGAGGAGGGGGTCCTCAGTATGGCATGAGCTCAGAAAGACCTGTGATTGAAGGTGCTGGGTGCATGTGATTGCAGGGAGGCTGGGGAAAGAGGGTGTGGGGTGCATGTGTGCAAGTGCAAGGAAGCTAAGGAAAGAGGGCACAGGGTGCATGAGATTTCAGGGAAGCCGTGAAAAGAGGTTGCGAGGTACGTGCATGTGTGTGCGATTGCAGGGAGGTCAGAGAAAACGGGCATGGACTATATGTATGCATGTGTGCCATTGCAGAGAGGTCATAGAAAGAAGGCGTAGGGTGCATGCAATCGCAGGGAGGCCTTAGAGGGCACAGGGGTGTGTGCATGTGTGTGTGCGAGTGCGGGGAGGCGGGGGGGGGAAGAGGGCGCAGGGTATGTGCATGTGTGTGTGTGATCACAGGGAGGCCTGGAAAAGAGGGAGTGGGGTACGTGTGAGTGAAGAAAGGCCAGTGGGGAGACAACCCAGCAACTTGCAACCTTCCTTGATGGCTTCCCATTGACTTTGCTTGGGGGGAGCTGGCAGGGAAGAGTGCAAATGGCGATCACATTACTGCGGAACTCTGCAACTGGTCATAAGCGCAAGCTGGTTGCCAGGCACCTGAATTTTGTTCACGTGACCGCGGGGGCACTGCAATGGCCAAAACTTCTAGGACAGATCATAAGTCCCTTTATTAAGCACCATCATAACTTTGAATAGTCGCTGAACAAATGGTCATAACTTGAGGACTACCTGTAGAAGTTATTATTGTTAATCTGTAACTCAAAGTGTAGTAACATTGACAACAGAAGTATTTAATCATTTTTATTTATTTATTACTTTAGCTTATGTTTTAGTTCACTTCCTATAGGATTACCAGACATCAAGCAAAAGGAGGACATGTTCTTTTTGTCTCCATGTCCTCCATCCAGCAGGCATAGCTTTAAAATCAAATATTGTCCAGTTTTTTAAATATCTAACAATATATTTTCTCCTTGGTTCGGTGCTTCCCTAATAAGTGCTACTGGCAAGTTAACAAGATCAGATTTGTGACCTTAATTAGTTGATTAGTGCCTTCCAGCCATTGGCATTGCTGCCTGAAATTTGCAAGACCTTAATCAATTACATGCTGAAGGCTTTTGTTTCCTAAGAGGTTCAAGCTCATTTCTGTGATTGCAAAACCAGTCTTTCTGCTGCTGGACAAAAGTACAGGTAGTCCCTTGGCTTATGTCCATTCGTTCAGTGACCATTCAGAGTTGCAGCAGTGCTGAAAAATTGGATGTATGACTGGTTCCCGAAGTTTATTTATTTATTTATCAAATTTATATCTATATTTATATAATTCTGGCCATCGCAGCACTGCCTTTGGTCACATGATCGCAATCTGGGTGCTCAGGTGCCTGGCTCGCAATTACAACATTGTGGGAAGCCACGGTCACGTGACTGCCATTTGCAACCTTTCCTGCTGGCTTCCCACAAGCAAGTCAATGGGGAAGCTGGCGGGGAAGGTGCAAGTCACTCCAGCAAGTCGCTCCCACCTATAGCACCCCCCCATCTGCCTGCAGCCTCCACCGGCATTCCCAGGTCCTCTCCGGCCTCCATCACGTGATCGAAATTTGGGCGCTTCTTAACCCATGGGCATTTACCACCATCACAGTGATCACCATTTGTGTGCTTCACAACTGGCTTCCAACAAGTAGAGTCAATGGAAAAGCTGGCAGTAAAATCACAAGTTGAGGTCATGTGATGTCTTGCGTAACAACCACAGCGGAACTGACGTAAGTCCGGCACAGTCATGTGATGTCTCACTTAACAACTGTGTCACTTAGCAATGGAGTTGCTGGTCCCAATTGTGATCATTAAGTGAAGACTACCTGTACCTGCACAGTACAGGTAGCCCTCATTTATGACAGCAATTGGGACCAGAATTTCTGTTGCTAAGTGATATGGTTGTAAAGCATGACTGCATCACTTCGCAACAGCAATCCCTGCAGTCCCAGTTACCATTGTTAATCAAATCCCATGGTTGTTAGGCAAGGCAACTTCCTGCTGGCTTCCCACAACCAGGTCAGTGGAGAAGCCAGCAGGATGTTGCAAGTCCCAGGTGGCTTGCAAACAGGCTGGCAGGCAGGCAACCGGCTGCTGGAGTGGGGAGGGCGTGATGGGGTGCATGAGGGGTGCGAGGGAAGTGTAGCCAATCTTGGGGAAGATGTGCGTGGTTGCATAAGTGGTGGGGGAGGCGCAGCAAGGCTTGGGGAGGGTGCATAGGGGTTTGCAAGTGGCCAGCATAGCGTGAGCAGAGAGGGGCTGTGGAAGAGTGTATGGGTGGGGGAGACTTATCTCAGTGACTTGAGACCTTCCCTGAGGGCTTTCCCACTGACTTTCCAGGGAAGCTGGCAGGGAAGGTCGCAAATGGCGATCACATGATTACGAGCCACTGCAACCAGTCATAAGCGCGAGCCGGTTGTCAAACACCCAGATCATGATCATGTGACCACAGGGGTGGTGGGATGGCTGGTACTCCGAGGACCGGTTATAACCACCATTCGTTCAGCACTGTTATAACTTTGAACAGTTGCTGAACGAATGGTCATAAGTCAAGGACTACCTGTAGATAAATTCTGCATAGGTGCAATGAAAACAAAGCAACAGATTATGCAAATTTGACTGTGATTCTACTGATACATTGTTGTAAATTTATTGATCATTGATTATAAATAGTGATTCTGTCTATACTGGGGCAAAGTGTGAATATCTGCCACTCACAGCAGTTTTATTTATTCTTAAATAACTAATTAATTAGTTTGATTCATGAGAAAGTGTACTGCCATACTGCATAGTTTGAGAAGCCCTGTAGTAAGGAATTCCTAGTGAGCTGTAGCTCACTAGTAATCAGGGAAGGCAGGAAAAAGTGTTAAATTTCATACTGCGTTCCCCACCTATTCACTATGTAATGAAGACAAACTGGTCTGACTGATTATTTGATCTGAACAGAAAATATTCTTGACCCTGTAATCTATGCATAGTTAAACTATAAAATTTTCTGCTATCATGTGTGATTATGAGCAACCATGGAGAGATGCAGCTAGCAGTAGCCACTAGTTTTGATAGCTGAATACTGCCTTCAGAATTAAAAGCAGTACGCATCAACTATCAGGACTCACGTTCTTATAATTCTGGCACTAGTAGATGCCCTGTGTATTTTTCAATTTGCACATAATTAATTAATTAATTAGATCAAATCCAAAGGTTGAGATGCTATATACTGTTATTTATGAATAGCTTTGTGAATTGAAGAATAGGACTTGCTATTCAGTTAAAATGAATGCTGAGCCATTTCCCAAGAATTTCAAAATGTCATATATTGTAGTATAGTTTATTTTCACTAATGGAAGTTATTACAATGATCCAGTTTAGGCACAGAGCAAACTAACAAGAATGTCTTGATTTGATTTTGATTTTGTTTGATTAATTTGAAGATAAAACATGTACATTTACATTCATTAACATTTAGGATACCGTATTAAAATCAAGGTTACAAAATGTTCTTCATAGTTATATTCCATGGTATTCCAAGTACTGTACAAGTCAGACTGCATCAAAATGTCATAGTGTATTTACATTCTTTCTAGGAATACCCTTTCTAGGGCTCAGCCAGTTTGGAAAAATGCCTTGTATAAGAGAGGTGAAGGGAAAAGTAAATTGTGGCTACATTTCATTGTTATATGCCTTCTCATTCTGGAGAGAAGGAAATGAAAATAGCATTTGGGATTTTTCTTTCATTTCACCTGAAATAACCTTCCAAATGGAAAATGGGAAGTTCTTTAATAAAATTATATGTATGCCGCAGATATATGGAAACCTCTATGTGCCTAGATTACTTTCTTTGTTTCAGACTGGTAAGTACTGTACTCAGCCTTCCAACTTCACTGTCAGAGAGAACGACATTAAAAAATAACTTTCTAGTCGGCTTGAATTTGCATCATATCTTTATATCTTTTTGATAATTGCTTTTTTATGTTACAGATTGGGTTACTTTCTCATGGTTAGCAAAATAAAATGAATGATGCTAGGAGTCAGTCTCTGTTTTTCAGCAGTCTGCCTGAGCTACAGAAACTTTATGCTGTGACGGTTACAGTGAGTTCTCAACTGGCAGCAACTGAGATTAGAACAGAACAGTGGAAGATGTGCAAGTAAAATAAATATAATTATCAATTCATAGTAGATGCAGTTTTAAAAAATAAAATACAGGATGATACATTGCTTATGCTTACCATACTTTGATTATAAGCATTGTCAGCACAGAATCTGACTCGATCGCACCCTTCTCCCTGAAATCTGGCAGGCCTCTACTCTCCTAGCCTGCTGGGAAACCTTGTACCTTTTTCCATAAGCATTGGAGTAGAGTGTAGCTGGAGGCCAGTAAAGTTTTTTGTTGATGAGGGGAGGGGGTGGTTTGGAGGGCGCTGAGAGTTTTTGTGATGGCTTTTATGCTTTTACTGTTTTTACTGTTGTATGTTAGCTACCCAGGATTATGATGCATTAGATGGGTGGCTATATAAGTCAAATAAATAAATATATAAAATGTGCTTTGCACTGAAGATGCCTGGTGAGATAGGGAATGACTCCTGTTCTGACTTGAAGCTGCACTGTAAGCATGACACAGTAGCTGTAGCTCAAATTCTAACATTTCTTTCGTTTGCATATAAAATACAGTTCATATTTTAACAATCTACTTGATTGCAAGTAGAATTTGATCCTTTTGTTGTTGAAACAGACTTGCTATCATTATGCTTGAAGTCAGCTTTATAATGATAGATATTAAAAATCCCCCAGGAAAAAAATAGAGATTTTATTTTAAAAACTTGGTCTCTTTATGTCTCATGTGATGGGGAATCTCCAAATTCAGTTTCAGTTTCAATTTAAGTAAATGTTATTGAAATTCTAGTTTCAATAGAATAACTGGCATCTCAGTTTTTGCTATTCTGTTTGCTGGAATAATTTGTTTTGGGACTGAACCAGTAGAATTCACACACAGTGGTATACATTGCAATCCTCTGTTGGAATTTTTGTTTTTTGGGGGATGGGTGAAGGGCTAGTATATTAGAAATCATTTTGGGGAGGTATATATACTGTTAAGTGGCCTGTTATACTGGATAAATATTATTTTAGTGGCAGTACTTTATTTTCTTTTCATTTTTCTGCATTTCTGCTCAGACCTGTTGTAGAGGCTGAATATGGTTGAATATGGTAGAATTAGAACAGCAGAATAATAATTCATTGCAGCAAAGTCCTTTTTTTTTTTTTTGCTTATTTTCTATCTCAGACTGTTTGCCTTCATTATTAGAAAACTTTTAAGCTATTAAAGTTATTCTAACTTTAGTAGGGGTTTTTTTCTCTTCAGACTGGGGTAAAACTTTGTGGGTTGGAACACTATCAGTTGAATTATTAATTTTTTGGGCCAAGGGCTTTTGATTATAATGCTTGTGGAAGAATTCCAAAAATTGAGTAGGGTCAAAACAAAGAGGTGGACTGGATTAGGACAAAACAAAGTTTAATAGTAAATTTAAGTTAATATATTTAATTAAATACTGTTGATATGATTACTTATGTTATATTTAGTATCTTCCCCTGTTGTCAAAGAAAAAAAAATATTTAGCAGCAAGTTTTAAAGGAACTCTTTTGGGCGCTCCATGCCTTGTATACAAGTCTTAATTAAAAAGTATAAAATTATTAAGATTAGTGACAAGCTTTTAATATTTTACCTAGGCAACTCCTGCTGCTGTGTCAAGGTATCATTTCTTCGCCTGTTCCTGGAACAGTGAATCAAATTTCAGTGATTATGACGGTCAGAAATATTTCATTTTCATTAATTAAAAATAATAAAAATAATTTCAATTTATAACAGCTTCAAAATTTATAGTTAATCAATAGGAAGTTCCCACTTATGTCTCACACAGTGCTTTCTCTCAAAAAGCATTTTCTTTTTTTTATTGTGCTACTGAAGGTAAGCAGATATGTATTTCACACAAACAATTTATACTAAATTGATGAAAAGGTCTAAGAATTTAAGGATATTGATCATGATGTATTATATTCACTATAAAAATGTATACCTAATCAGCCTTCTTGTTTCTTTGTTCATCAACAGAAAGCAGTACTTTTTTTTTTGTTCTTCATCTGCTCTATCAGTCTTCAATTCTCTATCAGGTCACATGTCTCCTGAATTCCATCTTGTCCTCCATAAGTGGGCAAAATGAGTGGGTGGATTGCTTTTATGTTGGTTTTGTTTATTCTTCCTGGGTCCTGATTACAAGAAAGTTTTGCTCAACTTCTGCTGCAGTTTAAGATGTTAAGGAAGGAATATAGCTAACTTTGTCATGAAGTCCAATCTTTAATGCACCTCAGTGGTTTCCTAATCCCTGGTAATGTTTGGTTTGATTTTATTTGAAACATACAACAATATTTTATAGTGATTTTATTAAAGATTATAAATACAACAGTAAAAACTAATACAAACTAAAAAAGATAGATAGAAAAATAAAAAAGAA